TGTCCCCAGTGTCCCCTACCCGTGTCCGCGTTGCCCAGGACGCCGTAGGTGAAGATTTCTCCCACCCATTCCTGCAGCTCCTCATCCTCGGCCACGTCACTGTCACCTCCGTAGAACAGGGCCACCACCCCCTGGACATAGCTGGGACACCACGGGGACATCAGAGTGACATGGGGACATTGGGGACAGGGCCACCACCCCCTGGACATAGCTGGGACACCACGGGGACATTGGGGACATCAGAGTGACATTGGGGACATTGGGGACATTGGGGACATTGGGGACATCGGGGACATTGGGGACAGTGGGGACGTCAGAGTGACATGGGGACATTGGGGACATTGGGGACATTGGGGACAGTGGGGACAGTGAGGACAGGGCCACCACTGTGGCATCCCAATCTCGCTGTCCCCTCACTGTCCCTCACTGTCCCTCACTGTCCCCAATGTCCCCAATGTCCCCAATGTCCCATCACTGTCCCTCACTGTCCCCTCACTGTCCCCTCTGTCCCCATTGTCCCCTCACTGTCCCTCACTGTCCCCAATGTCCCCTCACCGTCCCCAATGTCCCCTGTGTCCCCACCTCTGCAGGGCTGTCCAGATGTCCAGCGCGTCGTCCCTGTAGTGGTACCCGGGGATGTCCCCAACGCCGCGCTCGGCCACGTCCTCGGGGACGCAGAGCTCGTGGTAGCGCAGGGACAGCGTGGCCCGGGCCACCAGCGCCAGCGTCCCCCGGCGGCCGACCGAGGTGGCCTGGGGACAGTGACAGTGACAATGACAATGACATCAGTGCCACCAGCGCCAGCGTCCCCCGGCGGCCGATGGAGGTGGCCTGGGGACAGTGACAGTGACATCAGTGTCACCTCAGTGCCACCAGCGCCAGCGTCCCCCGGCGGCCGACCGAGGTGGCCTGGGGACAGTGACAGTGACATCAGTGCCACCTCAGTGTCACCAACGCCAGCGTCCCCCGGCGGCCGACCGAGGTGGCCTGGGGACAGGGACAGTGACAGTGACAGTGACAGGGACATCTCAGTGTCACCTCAGTGCCACCATCCCTCAGTGTCCCCTGCTGTCCAGGGCTCCAGGTGACCCCAGGATGACCCCGCTGACCCCTGGGTGACCCCTGAGTGACCACTCTGGCCCCCGAGTGACCCCTGAGTGACGCCAGATGACCCCTGAGTGACCCCCAATGACCCCCGAGTGACCGCTGTGACCCCAGAGTGACCCCTCTGACCCTGCTGACCCAAATGACCCCCGAGTGACCCCAGATGACCCCAATGACCCCAGATGACCCCTGAGTGACCTCTGTGACCTCTGTGACCCCAGATGACCCCAATGACCCCGAGTGACCGCTGTGACCTGGTCGATGATGCCCCCAGAGTGACCCCTCTGACCCCTCTGACCCCGAGTGACCCCTCTGACCCTGCTGACCCCAGATGACCCCGCTGACCCCAGATGACCCCAATGACACCAGATGACCCCAGATGACCCCGAGTGACCGCAGATGACCCCGATGACCCCAGATGACCACTCGGACCTGGTCGATGATGCCCCCAGAGTGACCCCTCTGACCCCTGAGTGACCCCAGAGTGACCCCTGAGTGACCCCTG